GGCGTCTCCAGGATCAGTGCCTACCACATCTGACCACCTCGGTGGCTGAGGTTGGTCCAATGCTGCACCTCAGCTTGAAAAGTGGACCAAGAATGTCATGAGAGCCGCTGTGGAAGAACAGCGATCTGACAGGACTCGAAAAGGGATAGAATATAGTCTGGCTTCGGCCCATCCGGAACCACACTCCCCCTAAGTGCTTCTTTTCGCCAACTTCCTGAGGTCCTTTATGGTCGTTTGAGTCGTTTCATGTCCTTTCCCGCAACTTCTGAAGTCTGGGGAACTTCCACTGTGACAACAGTTGTGAATTATGGTAGGTTGGAGGCCATCGCTGTTAGGTTGTATTCCTTTCCTATTCCACTCCTACACCAGCTGTTGGTGGAAGGAAGAGTCGCGAGGGCTTGAAGCTGCGGTCAGTTTCGTCACGTTGCCGCCCAGTTGCGGTCATGTCGCCACTGAGGCGTTCGACCTCGCAGCCTTTAATAAGAGCAGTGCCTGAGCCATTGAAGTTGCTTGGCTTCGGTCTGTTTTCAAGCTGGTCGCAGGGTTCAGCAAGCTGGCTGCCAACGGGTGTTGAGAGGTTCTGAGGTTCCGGCCTTTGCTGTCGATCCCTGGTGAGTTTGAAGGGCATCGATCTGGGCCTCAGACCCCTTCCGGGTACGAACGAACAGGGATGTGCTACGCTCTCGCATCGACCTGTTTCTCTCATGGGCTGCCCGGAAGTGATGCCACATGCGTTCGCCGAGCGTCCTGTCCATGCGGGAAAAGAACGCCCTTCTTCTGTGCCCTTCTTCTGTGCCAGGTTCGGGGATGGTGTGAGCTCACCGAAAGATCATCCACCAACCTTAGGTCAGGCGAGGAGAGGGCGCGTTCGCGGCGTGGGGCGGGGAGGCGGTCGTGGGTGAGAATGGGGGCCGTGGGTCCGATCCAGTTGGCTGATACACAGGTTCCAAGGACCAAAAACTAAAGCTAGGAAGACATGTGAGCGTTAGACCGTTAATCAAACACCCTTGCCCCATTATGGTAAATCCTGGAAATCCTCATAGATGTTCAGTGGTGTTAGTCGACACAAAAACGAAAGACTCCACCCCTTTCCAGGTGATTGCCGTAATTCTGTTTGAAAAAAAAACCGGCGGTTTCACCGCTCGGAACCGGTGAAGACCGTCGTCTTCCCGTCACGTCTTCCACAGGCGCGACCCGGCCGTCGGCCCCTGCCGCTGGACGGCGGCAAATCACCCTTCGCCGGGGAGCTGCGAAAAGACATGCTCCGCGGCGACACGATCTGGGCCGGATCTGGGAACGAACGAGGAAACAACGCGAGAAAGAAGTAGGAGAAAGCACCGTGAATGGATTTGAGATAAGTTGACCCACTCTTTGAAGAATGTCATCTTCCAAACCGACCATTTGCCCCCCCCACGTGAGATTTCGTCAGAGTGTAGCAACATTTTGAGCCAGAGCCGTCGCCCGAAAGACTTTGGAAATGCGTTTGCACCAAGGCTGCGGCTACCCACGTTGCTACTATCTAGGCTCGGGCAATACACTTGCGGCGGCCGGGTGAAGATCCTTGAAAGCGACACAGGTGGATATGACTGCCAGAACTAGGCACCTTTAAGGCAGGACCAGGGACGCAGCTGACGCTACTGGGGGCTCCTGGCATCGCTACTAGGAACAAGAAGCTACTAGTAACAAGGCCGCTACTATTAACAAGACGCTATTCGTTAGCTTTGGTGTTGTCACGCTGGTGGAAGTGCCGGAAGAGGGTTGCCCGCTGGATGAACGTTTGAGTTGCTTTCTGCAGGTCGTTGTTTTTTGTTTTTTCTTTGGCTTTTCTGTGTTATGCGGACGTTTTGCCAGAGCGCTGCACTGTGGCCGTTCTTCCTGCCAGGACACCACACGCAGAGGAGAGGTGCCTGGGAGTACGTAGTGCACTAGCACAGGAAAGCATGGAGAGCACAATGCCAAAAAGTCTTTGCGTTGAGAAAACATACATTACTAGCTTGCTAATTTCCATGTTCAGGTGTAGGGTAGACATTGCCATTGAACTTTGTGAGCTACACACTGGTTTTCTCGCAAACAGAGTATTTTTTTCAACATCATTGGACAAGTGAAAAACGCAAGATTGGTATGATTTGGTATGGGTGCTCGCTAGGTGAGTTGTTTAGTCGTCCAATCTTGTCAGTTTGTATCAGTCTGTAATTATTATATTATATGTTTCCCATCTCCACTCCACTGTCAAAACGGACCATTCCCTTCATGGACAACCGCAGCAAGCATAGCTTCAGTCAACAAAAGATAAGCCCCATGTGATGAATGCATTCATCCCATGCCGGAACATTCCTGGCTTCACCAATCGGCACACAACATGACTTCAACTGCCGCCCACTGGAAACCTCAAGGCATCCACTTCCTCCGCACCGCGGACGCGACGACCCCTCGCGTCGGCAGACGACGCGGGAACCGCGGGAACCGGCAGGAGGAGAAGTCCCCAACCTCTCCGCCGCGACGATGCTTCGCGAAGTCAGGCGGGCTCGTCCACGCGGGCGACGAACTGCGCGAGTGGGTGGGAGAACTTGC